TTTTTCTAGTAAAATATATAAATTTTAAAAATACGTTTATCAGCAGACCTGATTGTGTCTTTTTTAAATCAACATCAAAAGAATAGATGTACATGTATATATCGAAACAACATAGGATTTCAATTGATAATGTCGTCATCATATCGTAGAATTGAAGGTCACTGTTATTTTGTCATATGTTTTATTTACAATAATGCACATTTTTAGTGATAAATAAAATTGATGTCAGTAAGACTAAATTGCAAGAGACTTCCTTCGTGTACAGTAGAAGTGTTTCTATAAAACGAAATTGGCTTCAGATAAACGAAAAAAAATGCTTATAATGACATGTAATTAGAACTTATTTTAATTCCAACAAACAATTGGAATACCCGGTCTCCAAAAACATAGATACTAGTAGATATTGTGAATCTGAATTTAAACATCATTTTGATGTCAATTTCAGAGTACTTATGTATAATACAGGTATAAGAATGCTTTAAACAATACTTCTATAATGTTGCAAAAACCAATGACAAAGTGAGGAAATTTACGAGTTCCGTTTTGCATTGAAAAAGCAGCTGTTTCAAAAGTCGAATAGCTTGACATAAATTTATCTCAGGGAATTGTTGTATAAAATTGAAAAGTTCTTCTTGGAGTTTTAAGTATCTTAATCTTGAACATCACATCTCGAATATATTCTAGTAGAGTACATGTACCCCGGAATATATTTTATTTTTCAGCCCTTTTCCTTTAATTTGGATCACTAGAGAATACATAAAGTTTAAGGAATGACTTATTGTGAGATGAACCTTCAATGCAACAAAACATTGAAACGATTGTCTTCATTTCACGCCAGCGGGTCATACGAGACCTCTACAGAATAAGCGAATGCAATTATTTATCGCAGTGAAACTATTTAACTTAATTAATCTATTAGTACTCATTTGATTTGATTTTTTATTTTCCTTTTTTCAGTGGAATTAATCGCATAGTGATTATACACTTTTTTTAGGGGGAAAAACGCCTTATCTCTAGTTTTAGAAAAAATTGTTTAAACCATTTGTTTTTTTAAAGGGCTATTTATGCATAATAATTGTTGACTCAGTCACCGTATCCAAGTATAATCTAAACGACTTTACGTAACGTATTTATGTACGTAAATCGATATTTTCAGGATTTTTATCTCATTTACAGTGCTTTCAATGTTATCTAAATGTCTCTTATTTTGAAGTTTTTAAAAAGAAATGGCATGTGAATTTATTTTCATGTAACCATATCAACTGAATTTTTTTTCGTTTAATTCCCATTTGTTTAAGTTTTTCAGAACAAATTCTTTTTTTCTATTTATTTCCATTTGTTTACTTAAAGGTCTTGGACATTTGAAAAAAAAAAATTGTGGTTGGGCACAGAATCTATTACAGCGGCCGCAACGTTATGTTGACAACATAAACAAATGATCACGTTTATGAACGATTCCGCACCATATACCCCGTTTCACGAACAATCCTTCAAGTACACGGTTCTACACCTTACAAGAACGATTATAATTGCAAATGCAAACGCACAATTCTTCACGCAAAATAGTTAAAAATATAAAGAATGACTTGTACATTTACAAAACGACGAAAGAAGGTTTTTTTTTAAAATAACATATATTTAATTTCATAACATTTCGTGACATTAGTTTTTTTTTTTAAATGCAGAATAATGTATATGTAACTGAAGCACATTATTACAGGTAAATGTACATACATATCTTCCTCAAATGAATTTGCAATAAAATTTAATCAAATACTGCCTTATAACTTATAATTAAGGTTTTAGATAGTGAGGCAACGCATTACAAATTACATTAAATTGTTTATGACATTTTGGTTTAATACAAAAAAGTAGTATGCAATTTGTTTCTTTTAATATGATTGTATTCTGGGAGATATCTTGCCATGAGACTGTCTTCGAAACCACAAGGGTGCGCCAGCACTGTCGTCCTAGATTTTTTTAATGCCTTATACCCCTAATTTCGTCTTAACCTCCATATAAAAGACAAATCACGCGTTCTAATTCTGTATTTTCTCCCTGCTGGTATAGTCTCTGATATTGTAATCAGACAATCGTTGATATTCCAATGGCTTCTAGAATTATTACTTTAAGTCAGAATGACCTCCTAGTACTGATTGACAGAGAGAACTTTAAAGGCGTCTTTATATCTCATGAAGGACAAGTTGAGCTTACTTCTATAGCTAAAGCATAAAATAAAAATTTGTTTGTTTTAGTGTGGTCATTATAAAGGTTAAAGGAAACTGTCGAACTCTTGATCTTGGGAGCTTGAGGCTCCAAGCTAATGGTACGAACGTGTACTTCCTATCAGTTATTTACAGAAAATTTCGAAATTCATGTATAACATCTTTTGATAAAAATTTAAAATATACACGAGGCTATTTGTTTTAATGTTTCATCAATTACACATCAGCAAGGTTCAAAGACCTTGAATTTAACGTGGTTTTGTTTGTATTTACAAACATACTTCAGTACTGACAAGCTATAAACTTTTAAGTTTGTCGTTGTCCTTTCACCGTAGAGCAATGAAAGTTCATCGACTGTCTACATTTTATCAAACGAAAATCATTTTTCTAATGCAGGGAGATGTTACTCGTGTTTATATATATAAAAAAAAAGTCTGATGTGCTTCCACGAAGGAAAAAAAGCTCTAATATGATGGGTGGTCACATGTGTTATCGCTCGCTTTCTCTGCTATCTTAATGACTTACATCGTCCTGTCCGTTAACTTAAAAGGAGTCGATTCCCTGGGCGATCAGGTAAAAATAATTAAATAAACTAGTGCTAATTGTAACGGGAACCGTTACAGATGTTCCCCAAACGCTCCCCAACTCCGTTTTCGTGCCATATTCCCTGTAACAAAATCAAATAAACAATTTATCAATGCAGGTGTGCGCATGTGATTGCATGAGCGTAATGACGAATCATCTTGTCTACACTATTTTACAAACGCAAAATAGTAGGAGTCATTACGTCTGTCTATGTTCTTAATCCCATCATGTTTGGTTGAAAAACAAGGGAGTTATAGCCATTTAAAGTTTAAGCCAGTCAGAAAATGCACGTGCTTTCATGACAATTATTATATATCATATTGTATGACATCTTAAAGCATGCCTATGTTTTAAATTTCAAAGCATTTTGTAAAAAAAAAAAAAACAGAAAAGATATTGAGATTTTTGTTTCAGCCAATCAGAGCAAAGCGCACGTGCACGCACTGTGCATGCATGTGAATGGTGACCATACCATCTTGAAGGAGTCCTTTATGTCTATCTATATTCTAATTCCCATGCTGTTTGGTTGAAAACCAAGGGAGTTATAGTCATTTAAAGTTTCAGCCAATCAGATTGCAGCGCACGTGCATGCGCGTGATTTCATAAAAAATTTCTATATCATATTGTAGTATATCCTAATGCATGTCTATGTTATAAATTTCAAAGCATTTCATCATAAAGCGAAAAAGATATTAAGATTTCTGTTTCAGCCAATCAGAGCAAAGCGCACGTGCATGCGCGTGATTCATGCAAATTTGACCATGTCATCTTATCTACACAACTTTTTATATAATGAGTTTCAAAACATTTCATCAAAAAATATAAAAGTTACAACCATATTAAAAATATCTGTCATTTTACTCATTGCACGCGCCCGCACGTGCATGCGTATGTGCGCAAAATGACCTTCGTTCGGCACATCTACACAACATGCCTATTAACCCTAAAAAGGTTTTAACTTAGTTTGGTGAACAGTTTCTGAGAACACTTCTGGACAAAAAAGTACCGGAGAAGAAATAAGAAGAAAAAAGAATAATAATAATAATAATAATAATAATAATAATAAGAAACAGAGTAAAAACAATATGTTCCCAAACTTCGTTTGGGGAACATAATAAGCTTTCAGTCTTCTGTAACCAAATAAACAATTTATCGGGATGCCAAAGAAAACTAACAATCGAAATAGCATGTCTCGCAATTGCTGAGATTAAGAAAAAAATTTTCAATTAAATTGAAAAAACGTATTTCAATTGCTACTGCAGAACAATTGACACAGAACAGCCCTTGCTCAATCGACTAGCTCTTATGTGACCAAATCGCCTAATTGTATTTAATTCCGATGTTTATTACTGTGATTGAACCAACCATTTCTTCGATAATTATCTTGCATCTAACATTTTCGAACAAATCCACGAAAACATTCATTACCAATCTGTCCTCACCCATCAAAATCAGATTATATTAACCACAGATTGAAAATTAAGGAAGCTTCTACCACCTGTGGCTTAAAAAATACCGAAACTTCCCCCACCTGTGACTTAATCCTAGAAGCGGTAATAATAGGATACGGTAATGAATGGATATCGAGGAAGAAGACACAGGTTTTTAAACTAAGTCTCAGTGTTTGTGATGGATGCACAGCATTGGACGATTTCTGGAGTGTGTCGTAATATGCAATCATGGTAAAAGAGGAAGCTGATCACTGCTTCCCCGGACACCGTTAATGAAATCGGGGAGAAGAACTGATGATAGGATTAAGGGGGTATATATCGGAACGTCTGCCGCCCCGGAACTCGGGCAAAGAATCTCATTTCTTGGATGTTTCCCTTCCGACCATATGTTTTCTATGGGATAATAAATATGCAGGAGACGAGATGAAGTTATGGTTTATGTTTAGCAGTAAAAAAGGATCGACCATACCAATGTACGGTAGTCCTTTTAAAGAAATTGGCTTGTTTTAGGCAACAGTATGATATATTTCTGTCAGCAATTCATGAAAATTGGTGTAGAATTTGGGATATTACACTTAATTCGTGGATTTGAAAATGAACAAATGACAATGCATAAGTTTATTTCCAATATTTCGGATTTATCAAACATCTTGCAAATAACAATTTCAACTTTGTCATTTTAAAGGAATAAATCGAATTGCATTTGTCATCTTAATATATTGTGTCTACAACAAAAATTTTTAATCTGATGATATTCGATCCTGGCGTTAACGAGGTGTTAATTAACAAAACATCACCTTTGAGGATCAATATCCAGGCCGGCCACTGAGGGGAGCGATCCAGAGCCGTCAACACTTTTGTTGCGGCACTCACCGTAAAGGGAAAGTGTGGCTGACCACTGAAGTTCATCTAAGGTTAAATTGTGACGTAACACTGTCGTATATAAGTATACTGACACAGCTTCCAATAAACCAATCGAGAACTACTTCACTTGTGCAAGTGCAGGATATTTTGTTTGTTTATTTTATATCTGATAAAGGTAAGTCATTTTATTGTTTATTTATCATTTTTCATTTATCATTGGAATTATTCGTGGTACAATATAAATAACCAATTAAATTAATTTTTGTTCAAATCAAAAGAGAACATAATTGTGAATTGTGTGAAATTTGGAATTCAATTATTTAATCAGGGAAATAAATCTATATAGATCTGCGATATAATCATTATATGTATAAGTATTTGTAATGGCTTCTTTAAAATATTTATCATACATAATTCAAACTAATCAAATTACCTTTTATATGCATTAAATGAACCGATTTCCTTGCCAACTTAGGAATTTTAAGTGTTTTTAAACACTTCTCTAACCAACTGCTAGGATGATGCATATTAAATGTGTTATAATATTACACATTCAGATCAGATACACCCTAACCACTTGAACAAATGGAAATATTAAATGTGAAATGTATTTAATTTCATGTGCTCAGCGGGACAGAAGCTGAGGAAAATTGGGAAATCAACCTGGATTTGAGTTTGACGTGTTTTGTCATTCAATCAATATACCATGTATTTTTTTCAAGAATGCTTTCGGAAGCTACATCAAATATGATTTACTAGCAATTACTACTGCTGTAGCGTTAGATCCTACCTCCCGTGGACCCACTTGTGTACTTAAACTTCGTGTTGGTTAGACACTGTTTAACTCTTAACTACAATTCTTCAGGTTTTTTTGGGGGATGTTTTGTAGTTCCACTTAGGGGGAATTGTTTGCGTCCAACACAAGAAGCAGCTAATTAAACTTAATCTGTTTTTAAAGACTACAATTTAACGCGGCTCGCATGAATGATGCTGAGGTCTTTCAATTCCTTTGTGGGTGAAAATCATTAACTAAGGTTTTCCATCTTAAACTTTTAGTGGAAACTCCTGTACTTGATAGAAAGGTTTTAAAAGTTAGGATCTGATTAAATAGAAACTACTTCATCAAAACTATAATTATATGCTACTAGATGCTTCATTATATGAGAAGGGACCTAATATGAGTTACCTATTCATCTTGATATTGTTGCAATTCTAAAAATTTATATAATTAAATAGTGAGTGTCTTTTTTTTCAACATCAAATTTATATTTGAACAATTCAAACATTATCCGAATCTTAAAACAAACAATACACGTACTTGGTATTCAGCATAAATCAAGTAGTTTCAGAAATAAAACCCCGAATAGATGTTATTAAATCGATTTCCCGACTGATATTTATAAAAGGAAATAGTACTGCTTATAGATATATGTACCTGAAATGTCATAAATGTACTATTGTAATGGTTTGATCAATGCGGTATGAACAAGTAAAGAGTCATCAGCGACGTAAATAGCCATTAAACTGTGACAAAAAGCCTCCTGTTCTATGTGGAATATCAATTGTAAAAGTTCAGAGGTTTATGCTCTATGAGACAATACGAGACTACAGCAATCACGACTTTTTGCAACAGTTATCGGATGCATACATTAATCAAATACATTTACGAATTTAACACATGCGAAATAATGAACGATCCCTATAGAAAAGCAATGTTCCTTTAACTAGAGTTCAGGGCTTTAAAGAAACAAGAAATGACAGGGTATTTTAATATCGGGGACATATATAGGTTAAGTATTTAGAATTCAGTTTTCAGCACTTGTGAGTATACTTTTTTTCCATCTGCAAATAACTGTAATATCGAATGTGTCATGTTTTCCAAACTTCTAGAATAGATCATTGTTTAAATTACGCTAATCACAGACTATTATTATTTTTATTATGGAAACACAATACAAATAATGCCAAACAGTATACTGCTATAACAGCACAATGTTTATTTCCATTTCAAGCTCTCCTTAACAAGAGCACAAAATACTCTATATTTCTCTTCCTGACACTTTATTCTATTCATGGAAGACTTGATGCTAAACCTACAGAAGTAATGGATATATGCCGAATACTGTTCTATATGTAAAATTATCAGACTGTTTGAGGCTTACATTCTTTATCAGTTATATATAAACGTATGAGGCATATATCTTTAAAACATTGCCATTTAAATGTCCAAAAGTTACCTGGAGGAGCTCACAATTTGAGTTCAGGTACCCATTGTTTTCTACCCTTTTACAAAAGGAAAAGAAATGAGACAGTAAAAAAGTGAGTGAACTGTTGTTTCATTTCATTCATTCAATGGCAGTCGTTTAGTTTAGCAAAACAGTTGAGAAAGATTTTTTCTGTTTTTTTTTTGAAGGGGGGGGGGGGGAGGAATGAAAAATTTTATATATGATGTGCATATACTGACATTGATACTGACATAATTTCGGCAGATGTTATAACCATCACCAAAGAAAAAAATGCGAACCCTGAAGTTTTAGTTCAGATTTTAGAAATGTGGCCATCTTAACAAAAAGAAATAAGAGATCGCTTAAATCATTTTCTGGATTTAAATTCGCTTATTCAAAGTGCTGTATCAAAAATTGTTTTAAAGATGGCAAGTATAATATTGTGGAAAGTTTAAACTTTTTTTCATGGATTTGCTATTTTGTAGCAACTACATTCCTTGGTTGTAGCTTTCCAAAGCTGAATTTTTTTCTTCACATTTTTATTGGGGGTTTCTAGAAATTTAATGCTTAATTTCAAAATATTTGTTTGTTTTTTGATTTAAATACCGTCCGATTTTGTTATCATTGCCGTCCGATAATATATTATCAGACTGGTAATTATTATTATCGGACGGCTACAGATTTTTTTTATCTGCAAGAACAAAGGCATGACGTCACAGCAATGTTTTAAGTCTAGATATACCTTATTGTTGTGTCGCAAAAGCACAAGCTACATTCTTTATCAGTTACATAAGTAAACGTATTTCATCGACTAAAATTAAAATCAAGGCTCATGCCCATAAAAAGGTAGAGGAGCTCACTTTTGATGCGAGTCTCGCTTTTACAAAAGGAATATTTATTGGGAAGATGAGATCAAAATAGAGCTCCTCTACTTTTTTATGACTCGGGGTCCAGATCTAAAACAGTTGAGATAATACTTGTGTCTTAAAAGAAGAAGCAGCATTTGAGGAATAAAAAAAAATTATCTGTCTGAGTACAATAAGGTCTGTGGAATTGGCAGACAATTTATGGTCATCTGCAAGGCAACAAGGAATAGGAAACAGAATTGAAAAATTGCGACTTACGAAAAAGAACCCGAATCGCTTAAATCATTTTCTGTCGTTGATATCTTCTTAAACTTGATTATAAATGATGGCATTCCCATATATCGAAAAAAGGTTAATGTCTATGACATAAGATTCTTGATAGTACACTACATAGGTTGTAGGAGAAACAAAGGACATTCAAGTTGCTTTTTGGAGTGTGAGTTTAATGTCTAATGCTGATGATTTCAAAATATTTGTTTACTGATTTAAAGTCCCTTCAAGAATTTTTCTCTCACAATGAGACGCCACCACTTTTCGGTGAAGGTCTGCAGATTTATGTCTGTACTCGACATTTACGGCCTTTGAGCAATGACGGTTTTTTTCTGACAGCAACTACGAAGATTTTGCAGTTGGATTTATAAGGTCTCATCCGAAGGTTCAGACTCTATGTCCTACAGTGGAATTTTGGACTCACTTCTTACTCAAAGAGTCCTTTTAATGCAAATCTAGTGTTTAGACAACATACAATACCGACTCATCAATGGTACAACTTGTTAACTCATTTAAGTAGAGGATAAATCGTTTTAATATCATTTAATAAATCTGAAGCAAATCAATTCAACAAAATATAAGTAAGGGAGATTCGAAAACCTTGAAAATCTTGTTGACTTATGTCCAGCAGCAAATATGTATCATTTTCAGCGTTATTTTATATCCATTATCTAACTTGGAGTATTATGTTCTAATCTGCTTTCAGATTTAATTAAAGCTATCCTATCCCTACTCTGAATATTATTGAAGATTTGAAGTCTTTAGCAATGCCCCTTTCGATAAAGTCCAGCGACATATCATTGTGGATTATAATCCAAAAGCCCTCTACTTTAAAGTATCCGGTGACCAAACAAGATAAGCTTGCACATGTCCTTAGACTTCAAAATATCCATTAATCGATCTGCAATTTATGCAAGAGAAAAATGGCAAAAGAAAGGGTTTTCTACTGAAAGAGAGAACACTATTATACAGTTAGTTATTTGGGGAGAATCTCGAAGATATGCATATTTTTATGCAGTTAAGTGGAGAAAAACATTAATTGTCCTTTAAATCCGTATCAGCGTTTTGGGATCAGATTAATATATTTTTTCTTTCCGTCAGACAGAAATGAAAACCAATTTTACAAGAAAAGTAATATGATTACATTATCATTCCAACACACAGGCCAGTGAATGGGGCTTCTAATACATAAAGACAGATACCCAGATCATAAAATATCAATTACGGATCTAGTTTATCAATCAGCATAAAAAAAAAGACGGAAAGAGAAAGGGCAAACATTTATTTAGTATCAAGTTGTCCGTGAACAAGTATATAGGCAAAATAAACAATTTCCAAATGGGCAAGAAACGTAGTTTTTAAGTTTGTATTGTCTGTTTCAACAAATGTAATTTATATAGACGTTAATTTGAAGTGAAAATGTGGAAGGTTGCAAAATAGGAGAATTTTTAATATCATAGAACGTTTATAATTTCTTAATATTTGAGAAATATATTTGCAATAAAAAGAGACCCATAACTATATACCAATCCAGGCATCCATTTCCTTGGTTTGTATTATTTGTTTTGGTTTTGTATCATCTTTATATCAAACTGATATCTTAAGGACAGATGATACAAACAAAAAATGTATGCCTGGATTGGTATATATTTTTTGTCCTAGTTTCATTGAAAATGATGCAGATAATAAATTTCTAGAATAAAAAGAAATTGTAAACCTTCTGTGATGTTCAAAATTCTGCCTCTCTGAGGCCATCCTTATTAATCAACACAAATATTTTTTACTTCAAATCTCATTTTTGTAAAAAAAAAAAAAAATTCAATCAAAAATTAAAAACTACGCGGTGAAAGTTATTTGTACTACTTATAAAAACATGGCTCAGGTTGTTATTTTGATGTCTTTTGACAAAAATTTGTTTGTATCATCTCTCCTTAAGTATCCAAGCAAATTTCAAAAATCATAATTAACATTTTATTGAAACCTTTTCCTTTCAAGGCACTAAATCACTTGAGCAAAACAATTTAAAAAAAAAAGGTTCTTATTTTTTCTTTCAGTTGTTTCCATGTAATCCTTTCACCATATCAAACAAATTCCTTCCTTTACAATCTTAAGAAATCAAAACAAATCAATCAATCTCACCTCTTAAATTTTTAATACCCCATAGTTATCATCCAGAGCTTCGATATACTAATAACCCATTCTAGAAATTATGTTGGTTTTCAAGGATTCGTAAATCAAGAAAGGATAGAATATATACTTTAGTTCGAGCTAAGTGTCATAATTTTTATGCCAAAAGTTAGCTTTGAAGCTTCATTAGAGGCTTAGTGGTATTAGAGGTAAGGATACCCTCATCAAAGGAACATATGACATAGCAATCATTCTTGTCTTTATGAATTGTTTTATGAGAGAGACTGGCCTAAACACGAAATGAATATTTCATTGATCGGAAACACCTTTATAAAATAAGGCTTAGTAAATTTGGGCCGCACACAGCGAGGTGGGGTTGTTGTGAGTAAGTATAAAATAATATGTATTATTTTTATTAAAATCCAAAATTCTTCTTCTTCGACTACTAGTAACGCATGGTGCTTAATAGAACAATGTTATATTTGTAAGTCAGATTAAATAAAAAAAAAAAGATGAGTAACTGTAAAGACAACACTGAAATCAATGAGATGGGTGTTTTATACGATTTCTTTTTATTACATTAAATGAAATATTCATCACTGAATTCGATGTTCTGTACGAATTCTTTATATTTCATTATAAGAGATATTCATCAATGAAATCATGAGATTCAGCAATTAAGTTGAAGAATTCGGTCAATGCAGACCTGGTTTCTTAAAATGAGTACTTTTATTTCTCACGGAGAATGAAGACTACAATTATAGAACTATCGATGCTTAGAACTCCGTCATAAGTGTCTCTATTGCTCTGCATTTTTGATTAATGTTTGCTTTGTATTTCTCTGTGCATGTATGATCGTTAAATTCTTCTACTGTATCGCAATTTATTAGTTCTCCTAACCTATAAACTAAGTAGCTTCAAGTAGACGTGATTGAAAAATTATCAAAATATATATCTTGTATTGCAGTCTACCAATTAGCAAATATATTCTCAAATTCAATTCACTTACATGAAATGGAAGTAATTTTATATGCCAACAAGATTGTTGTTTGTAATATACATGTACTTCGATAGTGTACGCCTTCTATAAGTGTATGGAGCAAATGATTAAGCCTAAAGGAGTTAAGGTTAATAAAGTGTTTCTTGAAATCTTATCTAAGCATTTATTTATCATGATTATATCCCCACACCCAATAGTAGTTGTCTTTATAAAGGAAAATTTCAGGGTAAGGGTTTGTAAGTGTTAGTCAACTGATAGTTAGATATGAGCAATAATTATTTATTTATAGCGAATTAACAGAAAAAAGGATAAGCATGATAACATTTCCTTTTAACCTTTTGATTAATAAATTTTGCTTTATATAGAAAAAAATTAATGTAAAAAACAAAATCATTTATTTACAGACACATTATAATTTCTTTTCAAATATCCATTCGTCTTAATTATTAACGCAATTCGTTTTTTTTTTCATTTGAGTTGCGGCAGGCAGCATCAATTCTCTATTTCGACTCATCTGAGCAGAAAAAGAAACGGGTTTTCAGCAAGATAAATTCATCTAACGACACCATACTGTGACATTAGTACTGTTTTATTACCGAATGTTTTTTCAAGACAACAATTTTCCTCCCTCGAACCCTCAGTGTGTCTGAATAGGCCGGAATGTAATGTTCTCAATCTGTGTATAAAACTGAAGAACACTTTTTCTAGCCTGACCGAATTTTCTCTAAGAAACATTAAAAAAAAAAAACATTAAATGCAGTATGAATTACTAAAGCATTCAGATAAATTTCTGATTTTGTTCTTTAACTTTTCGAAAAAGAAATATTTTTGAAATTACGACTAGTTGTCTTCCATTGCCTTAAGCATGTTATGAACAGTTATCCAAAGACGTACACGAATTGATTAAACGTCATCTAAAGAAAAAAAAATTCTCAATTAAAACAGTCAATGTTCTGTTTTGTATTTAAAGTGTAAAACATTCGTTAAACCTCTCTTTCTCTCTATATCTTAACAAAATATTTTGAAAAGCTGTTTGACTATACATGTAGCAGACACTTTTTGAATCCAAGTATCAATTCCACCGACTTTTTCGATAACTTTTGGTATTTGTGTTAGTTTCTTTCTTTCGTCTGAAGTACTTATAGTTTGAATGATACTACACTGATAAATATATGATCCTCAAATCAGTGTGGAAAGTAGTGGTAGTATTTATTTGGTATCATGTCATCATACATAATACAAATACACAGAAATTATACAGGATCATATGAAAGACAAAATTTGGCAATCCAGACTTCATATAGATTTAGATTTCATATACATTTGTAAACAAATAAATAATTAAGGTAACAATAAATTTAGAAATACAATTCTACTGTGACTAGATTGATACCAGGATAACCCATATAAAGTATTGTACGAAGACAACTTGCGTTTTGATCTCTCTCTCTTTACGAATGTCTGGCGAGTATATTTGAAAAACACTTCGTTTTTAACTATTTCCGCCGCATAACACCATCCTAATCAACAGAATAAACATTCGATAAAAAAGTAACAACATCTGGTGATTTCATTTCGTATTTGAAATGCCATTTGACGGACGCTTTCACGCCCTCGTTAGTTCTTGGCAGTCTTGCCTATGTAGATTTCTTATGTAACTGAAATAAACATCTTTCAATAAACGATGAGTGAAATAAAAAGAAGCAATAAAAGTTGCATATGTTGATTTATTATGGGCAGCAGATGAATAGTTCTTCAGAACCAATGATCAGTTCTCGTACAATTTTTATTATAAGAAATGTTAAATATTTCTCTAAGATTTTATGACTTCTGGCAGTTTAAGTGAATTGCTTATTGCCAGAAAGACGCGTTGATGAAATTTTCACCCAATTCTTACCCCCCGAAATACACTTCCTAACATAAGAATGTATTCTTATACGTATAACATAGATAAATCAAAGAAATTGTGTTATTTTAAGTGAAAATAAGAAATTGTAACAAGTTTGACTTCCTGCTAAGGTATCTAAGGTATTCAAGTTATGTTTTCTTTTCAAAAATAAATTCATCCTTCATTCAATTTGTTTTTCATACTTTTAGAAAACCTGTGATGTCACCAAATTAGCTGCTGGCTACCACCCATCTTGGAATTCGGAGCCAATTCCCCAGGAGGACCCTTCGTTTAACAAAATTAAAAGAAATCGATTTTATGGAATTTGCCCTTTAAAAATCTACTAGTGAAACACTTGAAGAACCCTCTTACAAAACAACTATCTAAGAGAACAACTAATATATTTCTTTTTTTTTACCGAACTGCATATTGACAAAAGGCGCATGTGACAGAAAGTCGTGGAATAAATTGACAAGTCTTGTACTCTAGGTCTGACATTTATTGAATCTAAAGGTCTTCAGACACTTTTCGGAACATCTTTACCGTAAAATCTGGATTTTATTTAGATCAAAGCTCTCCAACATCTTATTGATCCTGGCTCAGGACCTATAGAAAATTAATCGCTGGGTCTTTGAAAGGTGTCGGTAACAGTCCAAGATAATTCTATTTAACGTTAAAGGAGCGGCTCTCAGGATGTAGGTATCAGTAACCACGGAATCAGAGCAACCTGATAAAATGTCCAGCACACGGAAGACAAATGAGATGGAGACTCTGTCTGTCAATACTGTGGTCACGGATTTAATGACGATTAATATGAATAAAACAGAAAAGGACAGCTTATTTCCGTGTGGATCTAACACCACACAGTGGACACTGACGGACCCCGTCTGTTCATTAAATTTTCACTCCTTTGTCTCATTCGTTTTTGTGGCTGCTTTGTTATCCATAATCACTTTTTTCACAATTTTTGGGAACGGATTAGTATGGGTGGCGTTGTACCGGTTCCCGAAATTACGATCCATGTCCAACTGTTTAATTGGAAACCTTGCTATGAGTGATATGCTGCTGGCTTTAACAGTGTTACCTATTTCAATCGGAAATGACCTTCTAGGATACTGGGTATTCGGTGAAATAATGTGTCCAATATGGTTATGTATCGATGTGTTATACTGTACCGCCTCGATATGGGGATTAGTGACCATTGCCGTTGACCGTTATACGGCCACTGTTTACCCCGTGTGGTACTTTGAGCGTCGTTCGCCACTGAGAGCACTGATTTATATTATTATGGTTTGGTTTTTCTCTATAATTGTGTCCATTGCCCCCTTTATTGGATGGCGAGACATGATTCCAAATCTTTACAAATTCAATATAGACACAAAGAGATACGAGTGTGTGCTGTTCGAGACAGAAGGATATGTTGTTTATTCCGCAATGGGGTCTTTTGTGATACCAGCGATCTTGATGCTCTTTTTGTACTTCAGAATTTTTGTTATCTTACGAAAGCGAATGAAGACAATGCAATTGAAAAAGGAAAAATTTAAAATCAATTTGAACATGATAGATCAAGACTATGACAGCTGTCCATTACAAGAAGAAAACAGTCAAATTGACCTGAGCGGCACACCAATCACTCAAGTCAAAATGTCTGACAAAGCAACTCAAATCAGCCCAGTAACAAAGAAGCAATATACAAGCTTGCCTATCGGCAATTCCAGTATGTCAAAACCAAATGTCCTCCATGAGGACAGTGGGAGAAAAACTAACGAGAAGGGAGATTACAGTGATTGTATTTTACCAGACGTCATCTGTAAAAGTCAAACCGAGGAGGGGACAGAAGACGAAAAACAACCATGTTTACTTGATGTAAATGTTAACAAAACTATCCAAGGCATAACGTGTGATTGTACCCAGAAAACAGGGGAAACCCAAGAGAAAGAACAATTGAAAAACACAAACAGTGACGTTTCCAAACGACCATCGAAGAAAAGGATCTCAATAACATTTAAAAAACGAAATTCCAAATCTAAACATATTCAAGGAATAAAGACCAAATACGAATTACGAGAGCAGAGAGCAACGAAGCGCATGGCGATAGTGATGGGGTGTTTCCTGTTTTGCTGGTTCCCCTTCCTTTTTATGTATCTTATACGAAGTTTCTGTGTCACGTGTTACATAAACGTACACATCCAAGCCTCCATTATTTGGCTGGGTTATGTCAACTCCAGCATAAACCCCGTGTTGTACACACTATTTAATGACGATTTTAGGCAGGCATTCAAGATCATTCTAGGTTTAGAAAAAGAACATCCTCAAAGAAATAGGCTATGAAATGATAGTAAAATGGAGCCTTGGTTACAGATACCACAGTCTTTCAGTGAATTTTGAGATTAACTATAACGTTGAATATTTATAGAATATGTCAGTGTTTTGCGTATATCCATCGTCAGAATTTTGATGTAACTACCGTGTATATTACATATGTATTTCACATGGTTTACAAATTCCTGGAGTAAACAGAAAAGATTTACATTTCAAGAACATTGTTAAGAGGAAAAGTTTTTTTTAACTGTGATTACATTAATCTGTCACATGCAACGCAGCTTGTAAACACGATAGAACAAGTTCGATACTCGGTATTTTGTATTTCGGATTTGTCTTCAGGTAAATAATAAAGGTTCGAAGGAACGTGATGGTGTGAACGTTTTCTGATTACAGTTAAGTATTTCTACAAATGTGAGCCTGAAAGATCTAGAGAAGAACACTCTTAAAGTAATTTGCTGCTGAAAAGCCCGTCTGTTATAGTAATATCTTTTTGAACATATATTCAAATTAAAGTCTTAAAGATGTGGAATAAATATTATCATTTCTGCCGCTTTAACTACCCCACTTCTAAATTCATGGGAATTAAATTACAAAGTGTTAGGCTATAAAATATATGGATTTGCATTGGCAGCCAATGGCATGATAGAATGATTCCTTTTTTTTTTCATGGAGTCGAAACGGACAACGTTCATTCAAAAAAGAATGCATTTGTGACACACTGTATTTTTATGACAATGGTTCGTGAAAAAGTCTCAAGGAATACATGCAGGCTCATGTGATTCAAAATATGCTGTAAATTATTTTAAACTTCATCGTGTCCAAATATATTCAACTTTTAAGAAATAAAACGATCCTGTCGGGTTCAGGGACATATCCGTAGCTGATATTAAGAATATGATTTCTGACAGAGATGTGTGTTGTAGGAGAACTTAACAGATTCGGGAACAGATTTGTACCCGATAATTAGAGGGCAATTCCTGACAGTGCCTAGAAATACAAGCTCTAATGAGACATCTTCAGAAATTCTAAAATAGATTTATATACCTGAGAGTTAAAGTATGGCTTATGCCAACTTCAAAATTACCGTTAAATGATTCCACTTCCCCAGTAAATTATATTTTTGGTATGAACAACTTCCAATTATATTCAAATGATATAAACTGAGTTGCTTTTCAAAATATGTTATTATTAGTGTACCAAGAAAGAAAGGGTAAAAACAGTGTTGAGAATAATGAACAAAAACAAAATGAAAATGTTCTCTATCAATCAACAACTATCTTGAAAATTTCTCATACCGAACAAGAGTGTTTATATATTTGTTTACGGGGGAGAATATACATTAAGAAACATATTTCTCTTGGCACCTTTTTGACTTCTCCCTACCTTGGGAATATGCTCACGAAAATGGGGAACCTTACAAAAAGTGTACATAAATCAAACAGTGCAACAAGGTCTGTATTCTTTTTAAAAGTACAACTGAACTAGTCATATGTGTCTGATGACGCCGACCTTTATTATTAGAATGCAGAGAAAAATTGTTGTCTATCTATTCATTTTCGTGATAAAAGGGGGAAATATTGAGTAAATTATTGTTTTTTTTCTCTCCACCTTTACTTAATTGAGATGGTATCATTTGTGAATGCAAATGTATTCACTTTCATTTTCTCGTTACGTGTTCGATTTGTTCTGTCCTTCGTGTTCTGTTCGCTTACCTGCTGAGAGACAAATAGCTTTAGAAAAGAGCCTTGCTGTTTTTTACAAATCAACACGTCAAGAAGGGCACTTTAAACGCCATATTCCGATTCCGTATGAAAATAAGTTCCTTTGGGTCAAGAACAAAATAATTAAACGTAACAACTCCATTTATTGCTTAATTACACATCTTGAAAACAACTTTAACAATTTTCGTTGATGGAAACACCCTAAAATAATTAAAAACATTGGACTGATGAACTTTTCCCCCCAAAATATATTCATAAAAATTCATCTTCTTTTGTTCTTGTCAATGCATTCAGCAAGATAAAATTCGTTAATACATATGTAGGTTTTTTTGGATACCTTAAGATCATTATTACTGTTCATAACAAGAATGGAACGCTCAACATTACTTGCCTTTACATGATGATAATAGGATTTTCCTACAAAGATATATCATACACCAGTATATTTAATTTCAACATTGCATTTATTGAATAAACATTATTAAACCTGTCAAAAAGATTTATATTTGTAATTTGCTTAACGGGGCCGACCAACTATAATTATGTAATAACAAAAACACTTTGATTCAATAGGATTACGCAACATATAAATTAACAAATAACCTCTTTCGTAGAAGAGTCCTGAATTTTTTGGCACCGTATCATCCTTGACATTTCTTCCTACACAAATATTGAATAAAGAACACATTTAAAATCTTCTAAGTAATTTTAAAGTTCAAAAATAATTTAAAGCATCATGACTCATAAAAATAGGAAATAGATTTTGATATAAAATCACACGACACTTAGATAGATAGTCAATTGATTGATTAATAAATAAAATTGGATCATCATAAAAACATATTATGCTATAGGGAAGGTCTCAGTATAGTTTACTGACATGCCTGCAATCGCTTCAGTAATTGGTAAAATAATTTTTTCTTCAATTAGTCTATTGTTACCTAAAATTAAACTGTTTACATGCAAATCTCTTATATAATATTATCATAATAGAGAATGTTTTGTGAGTATCAATTTTGCATTTTTTAATTCAGTACGTCATAATTTTAAACGATAAATAAAGAAAAGTATGTTAAGCAAGAGAGAAAGAAAGAGAAAGCGTTAGTTTTGAAATTTTTTCTAAAATTTGTAATTTGTCTAAATATTCGGTTTCTTAATAAGTGACTCTCTTTCATTAATCGCTTATTGAGTTAAATGCATTTTTAATACCGATATTATTTTTCATTAATTTCTCTTCAAACGCACTGTTGATACAAATGCACAAAATACATATCAAAGCAATGACTATAATAGTGTATATTTCTTATTTAAGTGAGGTGATAAACATTGGACACGCAACATTTTCAGTACATGAATACTTTGTAACTATATTTTCCCAGTGTAATTTTCTTAAGTCTGCGTACCAGCTGTGGACTCGAACCATACAGAAAACCATGCGGGAGCAGGGATTAAGTCCTTATTTTATTAATTAAAGCAGTAGCTAATCTTATGGAAAAAATGCATCATGTGTACGCCCGTCTGTCAGTGAACATTCGGTTTGGATAAAATTAATAGAAATGTAGAAGTACGAACTAAAAGGAAGAGGTCAAACTAAAAAAAAATATTTCTTATAATTTTTAAAATCCTTTTTTCAAATTTGACATCATATACAACAGATTTCTCACTAAAAATGGAAGTCGAATTTTTTTGTATCATATGTTTGGTCATCAACAAAATAACTTTGTTAAAAATAACAAAAACACTAGACAAAGTACTCTGAAGTTTACATTAAAAGTCTGCATGGCTCATTTATGACGATAGTCAAATTTTCAAACACCTGTGAAATGTTTATTAATTACTGAATTCATCTCAAATTTTTCAAATAACACTTTTTTGATCCAATATTGAAACATATTTTAATTTTCATCCGCTTGACTTTTACAACATTTAAGTATGATTTATTTTGACTTACAATTATGATGTTTCATGATCCCGGGGCCAGGCCTAGGGGACATGAAACTTAGATGAGCTCACTTTTGATCTCATTCTGACTTTTCAACTGTTAATTTGGTAAAAGTGAGACAGACTGAGATCAAAAGTTAGCTCGTCTAAGTCTTCCAACAAACTTGAACTTCGAGTGGGTACCAAACGAATGACTACATTATGCAGGCTACTGACAGTAAAGTTGATGTTACAGGGATGTCAACAATGTCGTTTGAATCCACTCTATGGTTGTTATAACGACCTAGTAAACAGATAAAGTTCTATCATTTGGCGTATGTTGGCTGACGTGTGTTTCTTACCGATTGTTAGTCGTTTGTTTAAATAAAAATGTTGACCAAAGAATGTTTCGTCCACCTGATTAATTCTATGGGCTTATGGTAGATGTGACCAGACAACAGGGGAAGCTTACTCCAAATAATCCCGGATGCAGTGTTCTATGTGCTGTTCGAAATTTGCATTGTTTGCAGAATTTTTTTTATCGCGATTGGTCACTGTTTGTCATTATCACCCGACACCCTTTAAACAAATTACATGTACCCGGTATTACTAATCATTCACACTAGGCATTTTATCAAACAGTAGTAAATTTCACAATGGGCTGCTTCATTGCATTTTTTTCTTATTATAGTGACAAACCTGTAGCATATCATAAAACTCAAACTTTCTCTCTTAGAGTTCTTTTAGAATATTTAGGCTATTTGCGAGACCTCTGAAAAGAAATATAACCATGGTATTTTTAAAATATACATGTAGATATATTGCATAAATCATTACAATAAACTTAATTTTTCTAACTATGGAAAATTAATGATAATCAAAAAAACAGAAAGAAAAAGTATCACCATGATTAATCTTCAGGTAAAACTGCTTTACATGTATTTGTGTAATTTGCACGTTTCGGTGCCAAACCATTTACAAAGACGAAATTAATTTTAAGACAAGGCTTCAATGCAGAAATGAGACTTAAAAGTTATCCTGTTTGTCTGGTGCTGTCTCTTTCAGAAATTGTGATTCTAGAATCATTTGTCCTACTTATGCATTAATAGCAATTAATATTGCTGTTCGCTGAAATATTCTATCAAAGATTTTCTTTGAACGTGTAGTTTATAGCTCTATGGACGGGTTAACAAACATCACGGTAGATTATAAAATCACGCCGACATATCAATTGAACATTTTATATTTTAAGATAAAACGAAGATATTTCTCTCTCCGTTCTCTCTCTCTCTCTCTCTCTCTCTCTCTCTCTCTCTCTCTCTCTCTCTCTCAATAATAACAAGAAAAGGTGACGAAAAATAAAACATATCAACATTCCCCACACCAAGCTATAAGCAAATCATTTTGACATGTTACTAATAATAATCATAATTATATATATAATAATTATAAATTATATATAAATCTCTTTATAAGCCCCATGCCTAGATTTTATTTATTAA